GTTGTTTTCGTTTTGCCATTTCTGTCCAAAGACAAAATTTTGTTTTCCTCTTTTAGTTGGGGGCCAATGCACTTTGGCTGAAATTTCTTTTGCTCTTCGCAATTATTTTTTATGTGGCCTGGTAGCCTTATCAAAGCCTCACGGCACATTGAACCCCAATTAACATTCGTCATATGAGCAAACTAATTTAGTACAATTGAAATGTGTTTTTTTAGCACTGCTCGGGAGGAGTATTACGGAGAGGTCGTGCGGTGTCAGCTTCCGCTTTGAAGAGTCATCAACTTTCACGTTCACTTTTCTACAGCATTTGCAAAACATTTGATATTCATTTATTGCTTGGCTCGAGTTTCGAGCATATGTTTTGTACTCATTTTCTCCATATGGGTCAAGAATTAAGCACAACATTGAAGTCGATGGCATTCTAAATAACTTCCGCAACTACGTGGAATCTAATTACCTTGCATTGACTTCAGATCTACTTAGCGAATCTATGTTTATGCATAAGTATGCATATATTTATTTTCATTGAACATTTGGAAACCGAATTTTACCTTTTCACATTTTAAAATGCTATAAATATTTTAAAATATCTCGACTTACTGCCATTTTAATAATGCTGTTTATTTTTGTAATTATTGTATAATTGAATTTAATCTTCTATTTCGATTAGACGCTGTTCATTGCACATTAAAGTTGTCAATTTCTAGAGACGCATTTAAAGCAGCTGTATAATGCAGCAATAAAAAGCAACAACAACAGCAACAAGTATGACCAAATCAAATGCAAAATGCAAATGCAATTGCACAATTATAAAAAGTAAATATAAGCACAGTATAAACAGAAACAACAACAACAGGAGACAGAATTAAAACGCGTGCAGCCGTGCGGCAGACAGATAGGAAAACAAAAACGAAACCGAGGGGGCGAAAGGGTATTACGAAACCTTGCCATATTTTATAAAACATAAAGAACGATTGCGAGGGCTAAGCGAAAGCTTAACATGTAACATGTAATGAGAAATAGATAACATATAGTATATTTATAAGCATTTTTTAAATTGACTTTTGTTTCGGTAGCTAAATTGACCAATTGATTATGTATTTAGCTATATGAACACTCTCAGCTACACGTAAATTCATTTCAAACCCCTCGCGCAACCCTCGTTTATGCACATATTATCCAAATATATTTTTTCATGAACGAATCAACTATTTGTTTTATTCTATAAAAATTCTGTAAACTATATGTAAATACATTTGACATGTCTCCTACTTGTCGAGCAGCCCCCGTTTATGTACATTTATCACAATATGACATTTTTGCATGATTCTCAACGTGGGGTGTATGTAAGTGTGTGTGTATGTATAAATTATGCAATGCTAGCAGTAGAAACAAAACCAGAATAATATTGAAACACGTGTCAACCGCTAATGATTTGGCCATGTGTGTGCGTATCTGTTAGATATGAATGTATTCATTCAGTTCTCCGTTCCAAACGTATACGATATGTGTTTATTTTAGATCGCAAGTCTTGCAAGGACTGTCGCACATGTCTGCCGGCTGCAATTTCGTTCCCTATCTGGCCCTTAGCATATGGGCATATATATAGAAGGCTCTGTATCTTTTGTTGTCTGCTGTCTGCCTGCCTATGCTCCATGCGGTCATCTATTTATAGCTCGCTCTAGCTAGCATGCACTACACGTGCATCTGTCTGCCAGCATTAAGAACGAAATGTCATAGATTAAAGAGTATTACGCTTCAGCTAAGCAAAAAGGCAATCGAAAATTCGAGCGCAAAACAAGAATGCGACAGCAATAAATTAACTGAGATGTTGGCACTATATACATATATAAATATATATTGTAGGTATGTATATATGTATAACAAGATATCTTAGAGGAGCGTATAAAGAAATTCACATATAATTACTGATTTTTATATACTTTAGACATTTAACTTTTACAATTAAGTCAAATCAAAGAAAATATCAGTTAGTGTTAATGGAAAATAAACACGCAAAATTAAAAACCACATAACCAACTGATATCAAGGTAAAAGTAAAACTTATAAAACTTCCAAAGCAATAATCAAAACACATAATGCTATAGTATACAAAAAGCTTTAAATGAAAACATTTACGGCAACAGCTGCCCGCGATTGCATCAGCTGTTTTTTGTGTATCCATCAGATACACAGTATCGCTCTCTCCATACTGCCGCACATACATATATACATATATACATATGTTTACTCAAACTGATTTTTGGTGCTTACACACCCAATGGCCCGAAGAGCGGCAGACAGATTTGTGTGAGAGCAAATTCAATTTGTTTATAACAAACAGATGAAACTGGGCCAAGCAAAAAACACAAAAACTAGAGCTCTATATGAAATTCCCAGCGCTTATCAGTTGAGGTAGAAAAAAAAAGCTGAAACAGTCATATGTATTTGTTATTTCATTTGTTTTATATTTTATAATTACTCAAGTTCGTGTAGCCTATTAATTACAACGCGTTCACAAGCGGCACCTACAATAACAAACAACAACAATAGAGTGCGACCCATTTGTTGCTTATGTACAATAGACTTTTGTCTCGCTTGCTCTTCGTATAGCCATCTCTCTTATTTTCTACTTTATCTTCCGACTGATTAGTGAATAAATGTCTTTTTCACAAGAGCTGACTGAAACTTTTGATTTCTTATATACATACATACATACTATGTACATATATATGTGCACGGATTGGGGGAACCTGTTTTCGTTTTTCCTTTTTGTTTTCGGCCTCATCCAATAAGGCATTTAGTAAGGCCCATTGTTTACATATGTATTTATAACAGTTAGCTTAAATTGTATGTTGTTAAAATAAATACATTCATATTTTAAACTAACTTACAAATCCATCACTGCAGTTAAGGATATATGTAAAAAAAATATATTCCAACAAAAGAAACGTATCTTGGGAAAATGTTAATAATAAAATAAATTAATGTAATAAATAACCCTAGAGCGTCTATCAAGCTGAACGGTAAAAGTTATTTAAATCAAACTTGATGAGCTTCGCCAACGCCTAAAATTCCGCCTACATAAACGAATTCAAGCACATGTGAAATATTGTTTGACACGACCCTGAAATAGTTCAAAACACTCGAAAGTCAACACGCAGAAACGCACACATACACACGGTTAAGCATACATATATTGTGTACTATGTACATACATACATATGTACATACATATGCTTGTCCATAGGCCTCGAAAAGCGTCGCAAATCGAAAACAGAGAATAGAAAAAGAAACCAACGCACGTGTTTCAAACTGTTTTCATAGAATTTATTCTCTTGAAATTATTTATTGTAAGAAAAAACTGAGTGAGATAAGAGTAAAAGCAACGCGAAAACAAAAACACATTGCCAATAACAAAGTTATATAGAGAGCGAAGCATAAGGAGTTGAAAACAGGAAAATAATAGACGCACATAGATGTATGTGTGTATGTTTGCAAGTGTTTACACACAAAGAGGCACGCGCTGATGAGGGCGCGACACGCGGCGTCAGCTGAAATCGCGCTGTCACTTTTTAGGCTGCCTTTGACATTTGGCAAGTGTAACAAAAAGCAGGAGCAGAAGGTACTGCAGAAGTACAATATGTATGTAGGTGTGGGCACACTTTTTCTTAATTGCGTTTTATGCGAATTTCGCATGGCAGGTCGTTTGGTGTTTGCGTTGTTTGCTTTGACAATGGCGTATTGTTAATAATATTGTTGTTGTTATTTTTAGAAACTCGAGCCAAGCCCATATACTGAAATTAACAATAACAAAGCACAAATACATTCACACACTTAGGTCTTACAGTTAAACAATTAATTAGTTGCATTACATGGCAATTTCTTACCTTGCGGTGACGTCCTTTGTAGACCACGGCGAAGGCGCCGTGGCCAAGCATATCCTTGGAGCTGTATTCATATTCCCCGACAATATTCATTGCATGCGCCGGCAAAGACGCGCTTTGATTTTTTTATTTTATTTTTATTTTTTCTCTGCTTTTATCACTTGCAGCCCTTACTCACGTCACTCGCACACACTTACAATGGCACGCACACACTCACAAATTGGGGGTGTTGGGCGAGGGGTTATTTTCAGCTGGTTTTTGTGCTGCCTTCTGCAACTGCAATCGTTGTGGAAAATCAATTTTTTCGCATAACTAACAGCCACAGATAGCTTTTCGTGAACCTTTGTGAACTGGGGCTAGTTTATTGCCAGCTGTTTCTTTAGCTTGCACTTGCCATAAACAATTATCGAGCGCACTCACTCACACACACCTGCATTTACTTTTTGGCTTGTAATTAAATAAAACTGGTGTATTACTGTGTGTTAGTACTGCTGTGTGTGCAATTTATTCAGTATCCACACACACACTCACACACACACACACGCGCGCGCACAAAAGAAAAATAGGTTACTCAATCCCGGTCTGTATTTTTTGTTAACAAACTAAGTTCTATATTTTTTAATTTTTTCCAATTACTCTCAATTGTGTATGTCTTTTTCTACTTCGCGATTGGCAATGTTATGCTCTACAGCACTGCTTCTTCTTTTAGGAATGCTTAACATTTGTCTTCTTCTTGTCGCAGTGGCAATGCAACAACTCTGTTATACTCACAATGTGCTGTTAGTTGTATCGGTCAGAGTTGTCATGTAATATCTTTTGCACTTTAATGATCGCTGGCGACCAGAATTACCTCGGTAACGTATATATATATTTATATACATACCAATATTTACATATAAGACATTTTTAATGATTTGTACCCAAAATACACTTGTGGTAAAGTATACAAACTGAGCGCGCCAATATATCGAGTCCAACATTTCAGAAATAATCCATTGATATATAATACTTGTAAACAATATCGATAGTATGCAGCGATATGCACACGTCTCTAAGAAGGAGCATTACCATTATTAAAATAAACAGAAGGGTACACAACAGATAGTGAAAACTTTTGCATTGTACACAACGTATACAAAAAAATTTGTGAAGACCAAGGTAAAAAATTGCACGAGCATAACATTATTAAAGAAGTGTAGTGCACAATTTGATACTATTGCGTTTAAACATGCAATGCATATATACATACATGCGTATTCAAATGTATACATACGTAAGTTTATATATATGTATGAACCGTGGTTTGATAAGAAAAGAAAAAACGCAACAGTATAGACTCCAAGCAAGAATGTTTAATTAATGAAATGTTTTGCAGTACTTTTACCAATAAATTTACTGGAATTTTGGAAAGCATGAGTGCGTCGAGTGAAGGTGGAGCAGGCGGTGCGGTGGGTGGTAGCACTGGAGGTACAGCTACGACAACGGCGCCTGGTATGTATTTGATATCTATAATGTATTCACGTCCATAGGTAGATATAAATACATATGTGTGTGTATGTATTTGTTTGCATTAGTGTGTATTCATAACATATTTGTGCTTTACAATTGCACGTGTATATATACATATGTGTGTATATATGCATGTGTGTGTGTGTTTGTGCCAGTGTACTTTCTTGTTAGTTCTCTTTTGTCATAGCAAACGCGCGCAGTGTTTGTTACGTTTTGCTTTTCAATCACATTCGTAGCATATGGCTGTGTGTGAGAGTATTTGTATGTGCTTTGTTATTGTGTGCTCGTTCGTCGTAGTGATGCCAGAGTCAATAGTATTTTCGTGGCGTTGCCAATTAGCTTAAAAGTGTTGCTCCATTCCGTTTTTTATTTATCTAAAACACAGCCACATTAAAAGCCGTTAAGATACGCACTCATCCTCATCTAAACACAATGCACTTGATAGCACAGAACACAACAGCAACTAAATCAAATGCAATGCATATGGCATCATCATCATCCACACAATCGCACGTACAATTGCGTGGCGCTATACATAGATATTCATTACCCCATTTGCCACCAGCAGCACACTCCACAGTTGCCGCCAAGATAACGCACGTGAAGACCGACGGAGGTATTTCTATCACTGGCACGCCCATCATTAGCGGTGGTACCATTAAAGTGGCCACTGCCGGCAATACGGTACAAACATCGCTCAGCGGTACGCCCATCGCCTTAAACTCGGGTCAAGCGACTACCGCCGCCTCTATACGAACTCTGGCATCGGCCGGTCCCTCGACACAGGTGCGCGTCGTCATGCCGATGATCAAGCAGCTGGAAAATGTCACCGCCACGGGCCGTACACAAATCACAGCCATACCGGCAGCGCCGGCACGCAGCGTATCGAATGCATCGATTACAGTAACTCGACCCGTTACCCAGGCCACATATTTGCCGCGTGCAAGCGTAACGGCCACCCAGATGAGTGGCGTGGGTGTGACGGGTGCCCAACGCCTTGTCACCCCCTTGCGTGCAACATCCTCGGCTAGTGTCAGCCCAGCGCCAGCGGGTCTTACCAGCACGGGCAATTTTGTACGTACCTCGCAGCCGTCAACAACAGTCATCTCGTCGGCCAATACGCCCGGTGCAACGGCCTGGATGCAGAGTAATGGACAGGTGCAACTTATTCGTGCCATTCATCAGCCCAGGCAGCGTCTCATAACGACATCGGCGAGCGTGAGTAGTGCCAGCGTCTCTACAACAGCAACACCTGTGCAGGCACCGACAGGTAAATATAAAATCTATTAAGACTTTTGAATGAGCTAGTTTTAAATTGTGTTTACACTACTTCTACTAGCTCTTACCGTCTCTGCAGCACAGTCTATGCCAACGCAGTCCTCGGGGCCCACGGGTGTGCCGCAAGCTTATGTGGCTACTGTGCTGCCACCGCGTCAACATCAGGCGACACTGGTCTATTCATCGAACGTGTCTGCCACTAGCGCGCCCAATACGAATCCAAATCAACAGTTCAATCCTCGCTTTGCCGTTGCGACGCCAATAGGCAACGCCACAAGCGGTGCGTCCACAACGCCAGGCGGCACCACAGTGACGCCCCGTCAGGTGCGTCCCATACCGCTGGGCAAGAGTTTCCCGGCCACCAAGCTAAACACCACAAGCATCAGCATTCGAGCGCCCAGCATACCGCAGCTCAACTCCAACGTTGCGCCGCCCACACCAGTGAGCGTCTCGGGCGGCGTCAGTGTGGCCGGCCGTGGCCCGGGCGGCAGTGGTGGAGCCGCAGGCGTTGCTCCAGTTGCCCTAACTGCCGCGAATCTGCCCACCACACGCATCATACAGCTGCAGCAGCCGGCCACAGGCGGGGGACAGCAAATAATTGGCTCCACCACTCGCCTAGCGGCGAATGTTATGCTGCAGCCGTTTTTGATGAGCACCAGTGCAGCAGCCAAAATGGGTAAGCAATCTGAAAGAGAAATTTAAAAAAATTGACTAGAGAAATAACAGGATTTTGTGAGCTTTGTATTGTAAACTAAATTTAAGGTATTCAGTTAAAATAATTCGAACTCTAAACTTTGCGGAAGATATAGAGCCAATTTCTAGTGTCAAAAATGACAGGCTTTGACTTACTTCAATTCAATTAGAAAGTTTAATTTATATAACAAAATTAGTAACTGATAATTAGTAACTATTATAAAACTAACCAAATGTTTTCCAAACTGTGCTAATACTTCAATTTTAGATTTATTTGCTTCATAGCCTTCTGTGTCTCGTTCAAATGAAATTCGAATAGAAACTAAATTGATTGTCAGCACAGCAATTAATCGATAGATTCTTAAACAGACTACAGTTCGTGCGTATAATTAGGGACACGTAGCAAAATATTCTGTATAAGAAATATTCTGTAGAAGTATGCCATGATTTTTCCATTGACATACAAATACTCAACGGGATAATCATTTTCTCTCTTTTTTTTTTTTTTAATTAATTCTTGCAGGCATTCGACCGCCGGTGACAATGACAGCCAAAGTTCAGCCTTCACTAACCATAACGCAGTTGAATCCTATTGGCAAGCTATCGACGGCGGGAAGTGGACCTACAATGACACCGCAAGGCGTGGCCAGCATACAGGCGGTGCCGAGTGTTGCATCTAGTGTGACAACCAGTTCGGTGTCGAGTGGATCCGCTGCAGCAGCAGGGGCAGGGTCTACTGGCGGCTCTGCCACGGTGCTACCTTTGACGATTGGCGGGCGTGGTGGACCCGCGAGCAACATCTTGACGGGCACACTGACACCCATCAAGAATGCCAGTGGCATAACTGTGGGCAAAATGATGATGGCTCAGTCGAGCGGAGTAGATGCGGCAGCATCCAGCAGTGGCCTACCGTCCAGCGGTGCGGGAACAAATGTATTCATACAGCAACGCAGCGGAGGCGGCAGTGGCGTTAGCGTAACATCAACTGCATCATCAGTGGCAACGTCTGCGGCAGGCACATCCTTCTTGCCACCGGGCAGCTCTGCCATCTACTATGAATCTATGCCGGCCTCAACGGGCGTTCTATCGCTGACCACCACAACGGTCACGCAGAGTACACACACACATGGCCAAGCTCAAGCTCAGGCTCAGCAAGCGCAGGCCCAGCTAGTGAGCAGCTCTGGCAACAGCAGCCTCTCCGTATCATCGCTGCCCTTTGCCACCCATGCGCAGCAGGTGGGAACTGGGGCAGGATCCACGGCCACTTTTACGGTGCTGCCATCGTCGGCATCTGCAGGTGGCAATCGGGCCATTGGACATCAGCAGCTGATCATACCAGCAAGCGCAGCACACGCGACTGGCGGACCACCTCAGCACATGGTGATACCGCTGCACACCTCCGTCAAGGTGACAACGGGCGCTGTGCCCACGACGACAGGCGGCGGCGCCACAGTTAGTGCTTTGCCCATGCAGATGCCGGTGCCAGTGGGCGCGAATACACTGGTGTCCAATTTCATGCGTAAACGCGATGCCGAGGGCTCGCCTATACGCGGCGTCAAGAATCTGGCACCCACGCTGCTCTCCATGAGCAGCAATAGCAATGCTTCAGGCTCGGTGGGGAATGTAACAGCCGTTAACCTGGCTGGTGGCTCCGCCTTCAATATACAGCCCGTCTCGGTGGCACCGGCAACGCAGTCAGCCACAACAACGGTGAGTGGCTCAGCTCTGACTGTTGAGGCGCTAGCCAAGAAGGAGCGAGAGCGCGTCAGCTCCGTCTCAGCGGCAGCTGCTGCCATAGTGGGTGCATCCTCGGCATCCACAGCATCCGTCTCGACAACAGGTGGCAGTATTGTGAGCACGCGGAATGTGCGTGCCGATTCGCCGGCTTCTTCGGACGGTTCTACCACCGTCTCGGCCAATTCATCGCCCGGCGTGGATCAGCAAATGCAGGACAGTAATCTGTCTATTAATCGGATTGGTGATGAGCCAACTGGAGCGGCTGTGCGCGACAATGCAACACACTTCAATCCCATAAACGAGGTAAGTTTTCGCCATGTTGAACTATTCCCAAATCAATTGTTTTGTCCTTTAGATGTATCCCACGCATCCGTCGAATGTGACGCACCCAACACTGGGAGCGCGTGGCAGTGGCATAGCCAGCGCTTTTGTGGATGTGCCACAGCAACAGAACTCGCATCTGGCGGCAACGCAAGCCGCTACACTGACGGCCAGCCAATTGCAGCAGGCGCGCATAAACGGCACCAGCGGCAGTGGCAGCAATTCTGAGTACAGCGTGGCGCGCAAGAAGCCGCGACGATCCACGTGAGTTGTGAATGACTTACCATATGCACATGCATATACTAAAATAAACTTATGCTCTATCATCTACAGCAACGATAGCCAGCAGTCCAACCAGAGTCAGGCATCGTTATCGCTGTCGCTGCCGCCGCCAATGGGCAGCGTGGGCAGCAGCACCGCACAAGAGGCAGCATCAACTTTCGTGCAACAGCAACAGCAGCAGCATCCGTCGGGCATCAACAACGGTGGCCTGCTACTGGCAGCCGCGGGCAGCGCCAGCACCACTCCCAATGCCAGTGGCACTGGCGATGTAAATAATCATCGACTGGGCGGTGCGCCGCCTGTGGCAGGCAATAAGGAGAACGCAAATCCGGTGGACTATGTGCTGCGCCGTCCGCGTAATTGTGCGCTGCTGAATGTGAGTTTGTTGTAATCTATAACTATTTGTGATTATTATATATGCTTCTTCCACACAATGCAGACTTACAAGCCGACGCACAAGCTAGCGAACAATCATTTTCATCGCTATACGGATGTAAAGCCACGTGATGAGCGACGCGCCACAGTGATTGATCTGGCCAACCAACCAAATGTGCAGAAGAAAATTAGTGGCTGGAAAATTCATCATCTACGCTCACAAATGGAGGATCTGGTAAGACAAAGAAAATCCAAGCAATCGTTGCTCGTTTATTAAATCCATTACAATTTACAGAACGATTCGGAAATGGTGAGTTTAAGCCAACTGGAAACTATGTTAAAAGTTCTGGAAAAGGACAAAGATAAGCTCGGCGAAATTGAGCGCATTAGCGAGCTTTTAAAGGTAAATTCCAAGTAATTAATTACCTCTTCAGAATTTAACTAATTAATTATTATCATATGCAGGGCAACATTCAGCGTAGCAAGATCATAACCGATGGCATCAATGAGGCGCAAAATCAGCTAATGAAGATCTTTGATCATCAACCTCATGTCTCGGATATCATCAACCGTTTGCAATCGAAGCGCAATTTTAAGAAACGCGAGAAACTTTAAGTACATTTACGTGTATAGAAATGTAAAGCAGTTTGGAGAAGAATACAACGACATGTTGCGCGTTTAGTTATTAATACAAATAACGATAAGTTTGTATATTGCCTAAGATAACTATGTACGTCATTAGTTATAATTAATTTAACGAACACATACAAAATTTGTAAGATATAATTTACAAAAAATGCATAAGCAAAAGGAATCACACAACACAAAACAACTAAACACCAATTAAAATTAAGTATGTAATATTTTTTCAAGTTCTTAAAATGAAATAATAATATGTATTTGATTTTACATTTATGAATTGGTTCAATTGTCGAGAAAGGCGAAGTGCTTAGCTTGACCGAAATTAAGTCTTTGCTGACAATGACGACTGTGACTGACGTCTTGAAATCGATTCAGTCAGAGCTTACAAACAGCACACCATGACCTCTTGCTGACTGGCTGAGATTGGGCAACTGCCTACAGATTTTCGATGGAATTGATATCTGCCCTGGTCAATCGAATTCGTTATCCAATCTTCTTTCTTTTCCATATGTTTGTTTCAATATCCAATCAAGGAGCATCTTATCTTCCACATGGGGCAGCATTACTTTTTCCAAAACATTTAAGCAAACAACAAAGTCCATTTTCGTCGTCACCTGATTTAAAGGACCCACTTTATATTAAGAGAAACAAGTCCATACCACTGCGCTCGCACCTCAATGATTAATGGTTTCATACTGTTTTCGATTACGATTGATGATCCCTTAAAATGATTACTATAAATTTAATTGTTATATTTTAAACCTGTGCACAATTTTCCCAGCCACTATATATAGACTAATATTCGTACTCCCACTGAGGCGAAACACAAACAACTGTATAGACTTATTGCATTTTATTATGTTATACGAATAGAGTTGGTGCGATTACATGGGTGGTGGAGGCGGCACACCATTGAACATGGGATGCATTGCCGGACGCGGCGGACCCGGAATGGGGAAGCCAGCTGGTGGGCCCAAGGCGCGATGCAAATTCGGTGGCGGTGGTGGCAATATCTTTGGCTCGAATTTGAATGCGAACTGCAAAAAGAACTGTTTTGTATCACGATTCCAGTGCGTCCAGAACTTGCCCTCAGTTTTCTCCACCTCCCGCGACGGCACTTTAAAGCCGATTGTTTCATATGGCTCAGCAGCGAAGAGTAAATATTGCCATTTGCGGTCTGGCGGCTCAATCTTTTGCTCATAGGCGGACATAAAACGATGACGGGGCACAATACCATCGCTAATCTCTGGATAGTCAATCTGGAAAAGCAGCGACTGCTGACCATTCGTCGGCTCTCGTTGCTTGGTCACACGGTAGCCAGGACGGCCGATTTTCACAAACTTTTTGGGCTCGACGCGGGGTTTCTCTGGCGCCAGAAGCGAAGAGGGCGCATCTTTGGCTTCTTTGGCTGCACGCCGGGCCAAATTCTCCTGATGCTTTTTGCCCTGTGTGTGGGCCAAGTAGCTACCCTCATTGTTGTGCAGTGTTAAGCACAATTTGCACTCATATGAGCCGAGATGGTTTTTCATAAAATACGGATCCTTATTCAGATCGATGGTCTCGAGCGCTAGCTGACGGAGACGTTCCTTTCGCTCGCGGTTTGTCTCCGACCAGGAGGCGACGCCACCGCTACCGGTTTTACCACCGGCGCGATTTTGGAAATCCATGGTTTAATTCAACTTTTTACTTGCTACAAGAAAAAAAAACGCTGTATTTCTGCTACTTGACAGCAGGGTTGTCAGGCTATTTATTTGGCTTGATAAATGTTTAACCATAAAATCGATAGCTGTTCATAATATACCGATATTAAGAAACATGAGGATTAAGAATTCACAATTTAAATGAACTATTTATTTATTCCTAGAATATACTGTGGAAATCATCCTTTTTTATAGTATACAATAGTGTTTACTGAATGCTAAAAGTCCGGAACATCGATATATCGATCATTAAATGAGTTGTAAAAGGCTAGTATTTTTGTATTTTCCAAATTCAGGCACTCTGGTCAGCGCTAAGAGTTGCACATGTTCGTATTTCTTGCATATAAAAGTTGAAATATATTGAAAGGTTTGCCAATTATTGGCACCTAATATTTGAGAATAATAAATGTACATATTTTATACAAATGTAAAATATGTAAGTCGTATTTTCAAAGCTTGGCTGCATGAAAATATGAGCTGTGAAAAATAAATTGTGAATGTAAATCTTGTAATTTACGTCAGTTCGCTGCGTAATTTGACTGTAGACTCGGTTTTAAATAAAATATGGATGAAGCAAAGCAGCAATCATTCAAACCACCAACAACAATGCCAACTTCTGGGCAGGGCAAAGCCAAAAACAATAAAATGCCGATGCCTTCGTCTACGCCGTCGTCTGCACAGTCACTTGATACAGAAGGATCATTGCCTAGGCGAATCATCAATCAAATACCATTAGATTTTAAGAAACTAAAAGATGCAGGCTTGCATAGAAAACTGGCAGTGGCGTTAAGCACACAAAATGTGCTCGGAACAGAAAGTATTGCATCAGAAACAACAAAAGCGTCGCCATCAAACTCTGTAATTCTGTCCACAGCAGCGCCGACAAATGCGACAACGCCTGCAACACATACACAAACACGCATACAAGGAAAGCAACAATGCGAGGAACAGAATGGTATTAAAAATACTTTAACATTTAATATATCTTTTTCTTTTTTTTTTTCATAATTAAAATCAGAATACTTTAAAATTTTGATGGGTATTTTGTTAAGATGATTTCATTAGATATGTCATTATGTAGCTGTGTTAGCCATGCAATTCGTTTATTCGTCGGTGGCGCTGCTGCTTAAGTTCTTGGTATTTAATGTTGCGAACGAGCGTTCGGCCCTGGTTCGTGTCAAGAACCGAACAAAGTTTTTAATTTAAAGAAAGTAATTTTTATAAATTAAAAGAAAATGGGGCAATTTTTTTTTTTTTTTTTTTTTTTTTTTTTTTTTTTTTTTTTTTTTACTTACTTCAAATTATTTATAAAAAAAAATACATGCTAAAAATGAATTTCAATATTAGATTACTTTTATAGCGATCTAGTGAGTTATTAAAATTAATCTTGTACTAAAATGTAGGGTATTAATTTTTTTTTGAGCCCGAACATCTTTAGATTGATTGAAGTATTACATTCGACCCCAATGTTTGGACGCTTTCGATGGTGTAGCATGATAATGTACATGGTAGGATGTATGACTGTTTTAGGGTTAGACACGTGGACTAGGTTCAATTCACGTCACAGACAGTCTGTGCCAGTTTTTCAAATTTGCAATTGTTTTGATTTTTTATTTTTTCAATAGTATACAATTTTAAATAAACGTATGCAACAAATGTATAAATAAACTATGATTAGTTTGAAAGTAATTATTATGAACTAAGTTTGATTCTGTTAACATTTTACATTTGTACATTTTTTTTCTAGCTGCAAACCATATCGGGAATAATAAGCCGATGTCTAGCACTGAACAATCGTTATATATTAAAAGGCTAATAAAAAATAAAATTCTGAACAAATCTGCACATTTGGAGCCACAACAGCAACCAAAACGGGCGCCAGCAGCTACGGCAAAAACAGCATCGACAAGCTTGGGACCTACAAGCCATCGTTCTGGCCAGTCAAGTGGCTTCTCAGGGCCCATAGCCAAAGCCGACTTAGCGGTACGTTCCAAGCCGCCGTTGTTGCTCAATTTGGTGAATCAATTGCCCAGACAGCGTGCAAAGTGTGGAAGTATACAATCACCGCAAAAGAGGCAGTCAACGCCAGCACGAGCGTCAGATGTAGACATTTCAATAAATCGAGCATCTTCACCAGCTCGAACAGTATCGGCTGCACCAGCACCACAAACACCAGAAGCTGCACATCAGCCAAAATCTCCGCCGCCGCTGATTGTACTGGAGAACAAGGTGCTGGCCCCTGAAGAGAAAATTGATTTGAGGGCTTTGCGATTGCCAAATGGCCAATCCACGGCAGTTCCGACCACTTCACCATCCTCTGCAGCGGATTTGGAACATGCAGATAAGGAAAAAACAGCAGATAAGAAGCCCACTGCTCCGATCAAGAAGATCATACTGAATATGAATAAACGAAAATTGCCACGTGAGCAAATCGCTCAATTGGCCAAAGAAGTGCACAAGCAAGCAATGCAGCATGTCCAGCAGCAGAAGCCGCCCAGCAGAGACACTCAAGCTGTAGAATTAGTGGAAGCTTTAGGCTCAGTCGCCAGCAATATCAAAACCATACCTCCTATGAATGCGACTTGTGCATCTTCAAATGCTCCAGTCATTAAAACTTCCACGAGTACTGAACCATCTTCCTCATCTGCAATACCCTCACCGCTAACAAGTCCAATTATTGAAACGTTACCTAGTCCGAACCTTTCTTTATTATCATCAGCTCCGTTGATAACTTCAGTCACAAGTAAAAAACCTCCTTCGTCACTTATAATAGCTTCCTCGATAATAACACCTGGGAGCATTAAACTTGGTTCATCACCAGAAATCGCCGCGCCTTCTAAAATTCTAGTTACTAAAGCTTCTACAAATTTAGAATCTTCCGGCCCATCTTCAGTAATCTCGCGATCCTCAGTTACAGCAATACCGCGCACAGATACTGTTGGCGCATCTTTAATAAATCCAAGCATTGAAACTTGCTCGACAACAATAACAGTTTCCCCACCAAGCAAGGCCACCAAAGGAACAACAAATAAGACAACTATCGAGATTCGCTCACCATCATCATCATCTTCGTCGTCACCCCTGCCATCATCAGCGCCATCTTCTTTATCAGCGTCAGCAGAGGTTAAGAACGACCCAACAAACCATGATTTATCCGCCGTGGATTTCATAGCACAGCTGACTGCAACTGAGGATGGCGATTCAAATAACTATTTTGAGCTGTCCCCTGAGGAAATGAGTTTGAATGCAAAATTTGGCAATTCTCAGTCCTCAATTCCACCTCCACCTGCACAAACTACAAAGCCGAAGGATGATTTGGCCATAGGCAAGATATTACAACTGCAGGATATGGATTTTTTGCACGCCACATTAAATGTGAATGGCAAGGAACCCAATGTCTTATCTATTAGTCCAAATGCAACGATTGTGGAGAGCAGCGCATGTACAAAAGATACTGAAATTCCAGCCTTGGATAGCAATAACGAAGAACAGTCAGACAAGGTCAAGTTTAAACCTATGAAGATAACAGCGCTAAAAAATGTGTGTGGCAATCCAGAAAAGAACAATGCTTTATCGAAGTCCTCAACTGTAGTAGAAGCAGAGTCTTCTGTGGATGACACGCCCAAAGGGCAAATAATTTCAGTGCCTGAGACTAAAGTTCAATTACATGGAGTGGAAGAAAAAAAGCAGATTGCTAAGCCGATACCTTACAAACCCAAAAAGGGCAAAATCAATTTGGTACAACGTAACAAAAAACCAAATGTTTCTAAGCCGAATGAGAGTATAGGAAAAAATGTAGCTGAAGAACTGTTACGCACATCTGATATGGATATTTCATCTGATAGTATAGAGCTGAAGGATGTACAGTGTGTTCAGAATTTAATGAATGAATCCCTTGAAGGTGTGACGGACAGTAAAACACAATCACGGAATGATTTAAATCAAAACGTGTCCCATAAAAATCCCGCTGAAGTGAAAAATAAAATTGAACAATCAAAAGAAACTATAGATGAAAAAGAAATAGAAACATATAATGGACAGTCTATGGAAGACGTAAAGGATTCCATGAATGAAAATACATATGCAACAGAAACAGTCAGGAACAGCATAGAAAATTTAACCAGCACATCAGGTGATAAAAGTGTGATCTCAAATAAAATAGAACGTGTGATAACTAAAGATGATGAAGACGTAAATAATGTTGTTACTAATACGGTTCAAGTGAATCCCGTCAAAGAAAGAGACCTATCGCAGCTATATCATCCGCCTAAGATGTCAAAGCTTAAGTCTGGCATGTCAAACAAGAAGGATGACAATAATGGGACCGTTCATGAGGAAGCTAATTCGGCATTTACACCAACATCAGCTGTGTCACTTTTCGATGCTGTAAAGCAAAAACAGCCTCCGCCACAAGGTGAGCCTCAATTACCTTTTAGAAAAAGCACACAAAATAATAACAAATTAATGTCCATGGAAAATATGTTTGCAGAAGCATTGGGTATCAAAAATCTTGTGACCCACTTGGCAGCAGAGAAAGTGGTGCCGTGCAGCAACGAGGTCAAGCCGGAGTCGACAGCTAAGCTGCCTAGAAAGAAGCTAGTGAAAACGCGACCGGTGCTGACCGCCAAGAGACCTGCAAAAGCTGCCCAAGCAAAGGCAACCGCATCCGACAAAGCAGAATCTCTACATGCAATGAAAAGACCACTTCATGTGGAGAGCAATACAAATGGGGCCCATCGAACAAAAACATCCAGCACCAGCGATGACGATGGTGAATTTTTTCATGGTTTCGAAGAGAAATCGAGCAGTAAACGTGTCAAGCATTCCAAGGCTAGAGAAACGGACATAAGTGATGATGCCTCGCCGGACTATGATGAGACCGAAGAAGATCCCCACTCGGACATCGAATTGCTAACCAATAAACCAAAGACTGAAGCTGTTGTAAATAATAATGTGACCAATGAATCAATTGACCAGGAAGTAGAGGTAAAAACCATGAGTAAAGAAGTTGTCGTTCCAACTGAGCCAGTTGTAGGGGGGTCATTGAAGCGAAAAGCATCTAAGAGGAACGCTAGCGCGCAGGAGGCGGGATTAGAATCTGCGCCGAAACGTGCCCGTAGGACTATGAAAGTAAAAGACGCGAAAAGCGGCTCGAAGTCGGCAGTAAACGTCAAAAGTCCCGAGTCGAAGGATGTGAATCCTTCGACAGATGCTATGAAAATTGAAAATGTCATGGAAATAAATACGCCGGATGAAGTTGAACCATCTCCAGTAAAGAAAAGGCGAGGTCGGCCGCCAAAATCCGAAGCGTTAGATTCTTCTGTTAAGCTAATTACACCAAAAGCCAAAGTACAATCGAAAGATAAGAGCAGCAGCTTGTCTAAGGCTGCCGCATCCACTCCTAAGACGTTAATAACACCGACGCCAAAGCGCCGTGGTCGCAAACCCAAAGGAATGGAAGGCGTCAATGATGTCCCTGATTCCTGCAAGCAAATCAACGACTACTACAAGCGACTGTTACTCATACGCAAGCGATCGCAATTGGAGACCGATGAGGAGTTGCGAGAGGATGGCCGAGGTGAGGGCGATCTGCAATGTGGCTTGTGTCTCGTGCGCTGTAACAGTGACGCCTGGCAGTCGCATATCGCAGAGCACTACGGCGTTGGCTGGCCTATCGGGGAACCTGCTCCGGTATGTACCTTTGAGCCAGTGTATATTGATAACTATAATACATCTATTACAGTTGCTCACTCGCAATAACGTGGTGAAAATGATTAAAACTTATATGAATGGGGGTACCAGGCAACTGAGTTGTCGTTTATGTAAAAGTGAACTGATTTCCGCTATGGGATTGTTAATACACTTGGAAGGTTGTGGTACCAAGCAGCGCATAGTGTGCGAGCACTGCAACGGTAGTTATACCAAGCTATCCTTTGCGACGCACAGTCGCTCCTGCTTTAAGCGTGTGTCAGTGCAAAGTGAAAAGGAGCCGGCAGCTGAGGCAGCGCCAGATGTAGATACAGTTTACAGTAATACAGGTCGCACCAAGCGCAAGTCCACCTTGAAGTATGTTAAATATCATATTAAGAATGCTTAGAAGATATATTTAAATGATTCATTTTTAAATTTAGAGCTGAAACAAAATTGGAGAAGATTGCAAGTCAAACAGAAAATAGCAAGGACACCGATGGCGACGCATCCGACTATGAAATTACCGCGGATAAAGAATCATCTGATGATGAAGACGATGAGTCGGAAGTCTCGAGTATAAGTGATGAGCCTGTTAAAATACCGCCCAAACGAGAAAATGCATGTAAGTTGCATCATTCAATTTGATTGAAGTTTTTCTATTTTCTATTTTCTATTCAATACGTATTTGAAATTATAGTGTGTAATCGTATTAATATTAGAAAAGCGATGAAGGAGCGCAGCAATTATTTGTAAGTATTAAAGAGTGTAATGAGCTTCATATTATATTACTTATTCTTATATTATATATTCATCATTTTAATAATAAAATATTTCTATCCATTAGTATCAAAAAGAATTATGCCAAAGACACTTTGTATCCGCATTTACTGCCCCGATATGAAAAGCTTTTGCCTGCCGATGCTGAAGAACTGTTGCCATCTATGGAGTCCACTTCCATGCGTTACGCCTATGGCGAAGAGCATGAGAACGCCTGGATGCATTTGACGCCGGAGGAGGGCTTTCAAAAAGAGGGTACTTTAAATCTCGATATGCCTATATTTTTATTTACTCACTTTGATTTTTCTTCCAGATGAGTCTGTCTGCTATCTTGGCACACCTATTAAGGAGCTTGCATGGGTGCCTTTACCATCGACTGTAAAGACACAATATTTGTTATGCTCTCAACGCAATAAGGTGCTCGGCTATTCCCGTCAATTTAAGGACAACCCGGAAAAAGCATTACTGTTCCTGGTCGAATGCAAGATGTCGCCAGGTTGTGAGGACAACGTCTTTCCATTGCAGATTCGAGTGCATTATAGTATATGTGTGCCAGAAGGACCGGTGCATAGCATAGCATTTATGCCTAGCGGCGGCTACGATGAATCTATAAACCGATTGGGTTTACTTGCCGTGGGCAGTTTATCGGGTACAGTTATTTATGCGCTGCCATTATGCCTTAAGAACGAGAGCGACCATACGAATAAACAGCGTGATGTTATTGTTTTGCAACCAGTGCTTACACTTAGCTTGGATATAGATAATCCTGTGCAGGATGCGTGCACTAAAATATGTTGGTCTGAAGTAAGAGAATGATTACTCAGTTTTAAGCTAAATACAATTCTATAATCTTATTATTTTACACTTATTCAAGAGTTCTGGTCACAGTTTGATAGTGAGTGGCTACGTCAGTGGAAATGTGGCATTTTATGACATTTCGGACGACCAAGGACTGAATTACATGGAACGTAATAATCAACGTTACTGTGTACCTGCTCATTTCTTTTATTTTGGCGAAAGAAATATATATCGTAATTAATATAATTCTCTTACAGTATATCTTTATCTAATCTATAATATTTTTCAAGATCTGGAACTGCACTATGACACGAATGGAGTCCGTTGGTTGGTTATTGGTACCACGGTGCGTAAGCTTTGGGTCTATGACGTAGCAAACTTATCGCAACCGATGCCAATTATTGGTGACACCGTATGTAATTTGTATTTGGGATGCCTTGCCTGGTCTCCTTTGTGGGAGTCCGTGGTTATTGGATGCACCGAAGTTTATAAAGCTCGTAAGTCTATCTTAAATTCATAACGTACATATTCAGAACTACATATTTTGTACTTGATTTGTAGAGTTTCCGCGCTTGCTAACGCTAAATCCATCGGGCATGAATTTCAGCCATGCGACGTTTGATATAACGCTGAGTAGTGCCCGTTCAGTGCATTTCAATTGGGAGCATTTGACATTAGTTGCTGTGACGGATAACGGAGATGTGGACTTCTTGTTTTGCGATCAATTAAATTTGCTACAAAGACGATCGAGGGACTGTCGTGTCGCATCGACAATGGATGTGCGTTGCTTGAACGGCAGTGCGGAATCGAATTTGGTTACCCCAGAAGAATTTAAGCAAGACTACGGGTTGATCCTCAAGCCACTTACAAGAATAGCTCAGAAGAAGAAGAAGTCAACTTATTTAAACATAAAGAGACTACCAAATTTAGATCTGGTATCCCTTATGCGTCTCAATTGTGTACGATGGAACTGGAATGTTGAAGCACGTAATTGGGTAGCCGTTGGTGCTGAGCATGGTTTACTTCGTATAATCAATTTTGATGCGGATAAAAAATTTAAATATTTTTGATATACCCACTATTGAGATTTTAGTTGTAATAAATAATTATGTTAATATTATAAAAGTAACGGTTTATGAAGTTCTGACGCTTTAAAAATATTTTTGGATTAACTTGTAATAATTTATTGATAGCTGTTAAAACAATAGGCAATGAATTGTATATAATCATATATATATTTGATATCCTGTAATTGCATTACGAAATATATTTATTACATTTCTAAATACAAATTCAAATATAAAATATAAATGTTGAAATTCATTCAGACGTGTATATATATAAATTTTTATTGGCTGCAATAAGGGGAAAACTCAGTCATTATATTAATATTGAATGAAGAGCGGGAGATACGAGGATCAATATATATATTACTTTTGAGTTTTGTAGCATTAGCTTTGTTAAATCAAACATATTTAAACAACAAATCAGTGTATCATTGAAAACTATAAATTGGTAAATGACAAGCTCTGGATATTTCAAAATTCGATAAATAAATAAATTCTGTATTTTAATCCTGAAAAGAAGACGTCAATAGGGCTTTTGAAATGGAGATAAATAGTGAACAAAACAATTATGCTGATCAACGCACGTTGGATGAGTATCATCGACGATTAACACATTTACTGGAGCGTATGGAGAGACTGGAAGCATCATTGGAATCGATTCCATTGGTCAATCGTGCAAACAACATGTTTACTGAAGAGGAGGATTTGCTTGAGGAGGAGGAGGATACTCACGATGAGCAGCTGTCCAAAGAAGACAAGGATGTTGAGGCTGATATAAACGAAATCATCGAGAAAGAACAAGAGAACAAATGCCAGGAAACAGAGAATTCTATGAAGAATTAATTTTTCTAAGCTGCATGGGATATCTGATATATGGTATTAAAAACGACAAAATTGTATTTACAACATACATATATATATATTTTTCATATATTTYTCTACATTTGATCGGCATTATATATGATACTTGGTTATTAATTGTACATCAATATTTTGCAAAACGAATGCGGATGCATTAACAATGATATAACGCTTTTTCTGTTGAGCTTGTTGATAGGTAGCGATCGCGAGTGAATAATTTTATTTTGTAATGCTTGCGATTCGAAATGTCTGATATCAAATAATGTTAAAAATAATATATATAAAATGTTAGAAAATCGTTTAGTAAATAAATATGTTGGCAAAATGCTTGGCTTAAAACTAAACAGGCTAAAAATGCTTATGAAAAAAATAAACTGAATGTTTCGAATAACACACGGAACAGTTTTCGATATATCTAAACAAACGCATACCAAGCCAGGCTACACAATCATTGTATGAGTTATTTTCATTGTGTAATACCTTGTGCTTTCGCCTATTAATTATAGTTACTGTTGATATCTATTGTCTTTTCTATGGACCACTCGAAGGTAGCAGTTAACATAAATTGCGATAGATGCGATAGTATGGCCTGAGGCTGAGCCTGGAGTGGTTGAATTCAAGAGAGCCCTAATATATCTGCCTATTATGCACTTGACCTTCAGTCTTCATTCTTAGTACTCTTCCTTCGTTACGGTCTTTCTGTCTTTATATCGTTTAGCTGTGCCAATGTAACTGATTTTACACATTAAATTTTTAACAAATTCATCAATTGCAAAACGGAACTTGACTTTTCACTTAACATACAGTTACACTTAAATAAAATAAAAAAATCGTTAAATTTAACAGTGAAGTTGGTTTACTTGGGTTCACCATTCGCTGGCTGCATTGTGGATGCATTTCGTTTGCCACCCAATTCCATTTGAATCTCGTTCAGACTCTTGCCCTTCGTCTCGGGCACAGCTAAGAAGACGAAGACTACGCCAACAAGAGTAACGCCAGCGAACAACCAGAACGTGCCGCCACTGCCCAGCGATTCATTAAGATTCTTAAACGTTTTCGTCACTATGAAGGCGAGCACCCAGTTGATGGTGCCCGCAATAGAGCCGGCAAAGCCCTTGATGTCGGTGGCAAAGAGCTCGCCCATCATCAGCCATGGCACCGGGCCATAGCCAATCGAGAACATGATCATGAAAATGCACAAACTTGCCACCGGCAGCCAGCCCAAATTTTCCACACTGTCCGCATTCCGATCTTTCATAAAGAAGTACACGCCAATTGCGGTGGTTGACAGCGCCATGACAGCTCCCGAGGCGAGCAACAGAATGCGGCGTCCCAACTTATCCACCACCATTGTGGATACAAAGGTGGCGACGACCTGCATCACACCAATCAGAATCGTAGACATGCTGGAGCTTATTCCAGTATTGGCATCCTGTTCGAAAAAAATACATATTAGATATCTAGCATATATTAGATCTGTACAGCCTAAGCCTTACCTCAAAGATGGCTTCCGAGTAGAAAATGACAGCGTTAATACCGCTCAGCTGCTGGAAGAACATCAGGCCCAAGCTAATGCACAATGCCTTGATGGTAACGGGACGGGCCAAGGCTGCCAAAACATTCACTTTGTTCTTACGGATCTCTTGATCGGTTTGATGCAGTTCCTCCAATTCTGGTCTATAATCGTATTCCGTACCACGCAGCCATTGAATAGATTTCACGGCGGACTCTGAGCGATTCTTTGAAACCTGATACAGAGCGAGGTATATACATACATTAATATTGAAAGGTATTGAATATGATAAAGTATTTCTGATAAAAATTTAAAAGTACCCTGGAAATATATATGTGTCTATCTCAAACTTACCAAATATGTGGGAGATTCCGGCATGAAGAAGAATATGACGCCAAAGATAATGGGTAAAATGCCACACACAATGCTCATCCAGAAGACCTTGAGACCCGCACCAATTCCATACACGAACAATATACCAATGGTGATCATCAGTTGAAAGAAGCTGCCAAGTGTGCCGCGAATATCCTTTTGGGCAATTTCACCAGTGTACATGGGCGCAGTTACGCAGAAGGCACCGCCAGCAATACCCAGAATGAAGCGTGCAATGTACATCATGATCACGTTCTGTGCCCAGATCAGCAGGGCCCAGCCCAATACGAAGGGTGCGACCAGTAGCAGCATGGTCCATTTGCGTCCAATGAAATTGATGAGAAAGCCAATCGGAATGCACACACAGGCAGCACCCAGGGTCATAAACGAACTGACCCAGGAGTACTGCTCGCTGCTCACATGAAAGCCATACGCATTGCCTTCATTAACGATATCCGTCTCCGCCGGTGAAGTCCAGCCGAGCAGGGTACCGGCTGCAAAAGCACCGCCAGCTGCTGCCAAAGCAGCAACATATTGCGGAAAAGTGTTCGACCGATTCTCGGTGGACGTGTGTACCATGTTGCCAAGTAGATTTTCCTGATCCTGCAAATCAGTAGAAAACAAGTAGCGTGTTTAGTATTCGACCACTTAACGGTTCGGCCAACTGAGCAGAACTGCAATCGAAGCCCATTATCACATAGGTCTAATCTCACCGACAGCAAGTAAGCCGCAATAATGCCCACCTCCTGCGATTACGGAATTTATTGCGGCATGTGCCAAAGAGGAATGCCCCAAAGTCCCAAGTTTTATTGGTTTGCCAAACAAAAAAGTTGATTGGGAAAGAGAAATTTCTCATGGGTAAGTATCAAATGCTTATTGATAAGGTGCTTAATAAGGTGCCTAATGGCCCAACTAAGAATTCATAGCTCTTGATAGGTTTATTTACGCTTGCACTGATAAGCCCAAGTGTTAACTTCCTGCATTATAATAAAACTATTCAACAATAATTGCAATAACAAGATATTTATTCATTAATGTTTGGCGATATGCATCACTGATAAGTTTTATAGCCATTTGAGAGTCAAGAAACTGGGATGGAATGCTGAAGATTAGATATACGTCAAACAACTTAATTAGAGCCATTTCATTCGTCCCAATCAACGATATTAATGGAAAATGTAAGCACATATGAATATGTGATAAGATTTAAGTAGATTATTATAAGAGTAGCTAAGCAACTTTTTTCAATTGGAACGGATATGATAATATAGAAAACGTGATGTTGCTGTTATTATTATTGTTCTTATATTATATTTTGTCAGCTCACATCAAAATTAACACTTTATGCTGTCAAACACAACTTTAAAATGAAATAATTTGCAACTTGTAATGGACTTAATAATGTAAATCATTGTAAATTTAATTATTAATAATTAACTTAAAATATTATTTTATTGCATAGGTGCATTTGGCATTGTCTGCAGCTTAGTGAAGCGGCGCCAATTATAAGTTTGTTGCCTTGGCCATGGCGCGCTGCGTGGCCATAAACCATATTCTCCGATGCATATGTCTACATATGAATGTAGGTAATGTTATCGAGTGCCGAATGAATATGGCCAGTACCTATATATACATATACATATGTACCAATAACACATATGAGGAATTTTGTAACATTTCTGCTAATTAATAAACGTTAATTCTGCCAAATTTATTGTTCATAAAATTGCTGTGAATATATATAAATATTTATTGTAATTATGCGCAATATATTTTTGGCTTGAAACTTATGCTTAATATAATTAGCTAAGTAAATTAACGTCTAGATTAATTTTAGAACAGAATATTTAAGTAATGAAACTAATGGATTGTCTAAAGAGTATCAGCAAAATATATATCGTAAAAGCTTTTCTATTTACGCACTCATTACAGATTTTGCCCAGATATTAAATGCATTTATATAGCTAAGTGCTTTTTAAATTTCTTTCCCCTGCTGACTTTTCTTTTTGCCATTTAGTTTATCTCATTTTACGCCCACTCGCAGAATGCGCGGCAATCACTGTTGCTCACACATACATGCTCTTATATATCCAATCAAAGCCCACATTGGTGCAGGTTTATGTCTACAAATGCATTTCCGCACATGGAGAATGCTGGCCGAGAGTAGCGTTACCCAACCGGTAACCGAGAAGAGGCGCGCCCACGCCACCTCCTGCTTGTGGCTGGGACACACCTCCGGCTGGGCAGTAAGTCTGCACTGAAATCGATATTTGCGACGCCGTTGGCGTTGTTTATGTGGTCACTGCGACTGGTTGTGGTGCTGCTGCCAATGCCAATATGCGCAACTATATATAGATTTACGTTGGCAGTCAACCGAGCCAATAACTTGTGGGGCGCCCACGCATTAACGACGGTCGCTTGACGCTTTAAGTTGGTCAGGATAATAGCTAAGCGAACGCCAAATGTCATTGTCATCGTTGGCCAGGCCAAGTTCATTTCAATGTCAGGCAATACGCATTTGTGTGGGCCACATTCAGTAAGAAATAACTGAAATTGCATTTTAAAGCCCAGAATTTACATTAACATACTTCCAGTCCGACTGTCAAAGCAATAAACAGGTTTCCTTTAACCATTTCAAATGTATAAAAATATTCAGATTAATTCACGCAGCTTCTGATATGCAGGTATGCGAATAAACCCCATAATAAAAATTAAATTTTATTTGTCAAGACTACTCATATTAAGTTTATATTTACTTAATGCATAAAATAAATTCCTTCCTTATTTTCTGGATATTTTTAAATGCTGGAGAATGAAATACTATGTATTCAAATATGATGTATTCAAATATGATGATATACAGGGCGAGGTTTTTCTTTCTTTTTGACAACGCAAGGAAACTCTCTTTGTTTACAGCTTAAATAGCTTTACAGGTCAATCACATTGAATAAGTAATATATAATAATTATTGATATTTTACGAATCAAATATTTTTGGTAATTTGGTTTCATTTGCTGTCAATTTTTATGACGTACCTTGTTAGGCTTATCAGTTAATTGGATAATAGGTTAATAAATATTTCATAACATTCCATTTCTATACAATGTTGTATACCATGCTGGCCAAGGTCGTCGAATGAAAACAAAGCAACTCATTAACAACCAAATCACTTTTCTGTTAACCAATTTTGCCAAAAAAAAAAAAAAAAAAAAAAAAAAAAAAAAAAAAAGAAAACAAACCAAACATGATAAGAGGCTTCTGTGTATTTGTGGGGCGTACAAAGCAAAGCCAATCTGTATCTCTGAATAATACATATAATGCGTAATTTTTAATAACAATAATAAACATAATATACACTAACGAAATACATATATTAAAAACATAAAAAATTAAAATTGATATTTAATTTCAGACCCGTTCCAGAGTATGCTTTGAATGAATTCACAAATTTCACGGTCACAAACCGTAAGCCGGTTTACGATTTCAGGGAATTAAAGCATAACATTTTTTAATTCTGGTTCTGAAATGTTGAAAGTCGTATATATTGCGTGTATATGAAAATCTGATATATCAAAAAAAAAAAAAAGAAGCGCATTCTTCTCAAACACAACTTTAATTTGTTGAACTACTTTCGTAGATAAGAGACTAATGTTTTGTCTCTTTATCATATCTTATTTTGGGCCTGGTGACTAAGAAAATGCTCTAAATTTCGACTGCTATCCGTTCAAGTTCTTTTCAGATACTTTGTACTAAACAGACATTAAAGATTGTTTGCTCTTGACAAACAAAGCGAGAGTCGCTTTACACACAGCTAATAGGGCGCGCAATGGTACTTTAATTTTTTTCCGTACCTCTGTCAAGGTCATACGTAGTAGATACATAGATACACAGCCTAGAGTTACTTAAATTATAGGGGTTTTTAGTACCAGCACCAGTTAGAAAAATTTGAATAAAATTTTAATTGGGCCTACTTGAGGTCTGGCATTGGCATTGGCACTGTCATTGACTGGGGTCTTGATGATTTTTACCGCTTGCCGGGAACCATATTTGGCACCGTTCTCAGTGGCCTCCAGCAGGTGGGAGCTCTCCTCGCTGTTGACACCGGGCTTTTTGTTGGGCTCATCGCCGCTTGAGTTACTGGAGGAAACGGTTGACATGTTGCTCTAATTCGTAGCTCTTGTATAATTAATATTTTTCGTGTATATTTCCACTAATTGTTTAAACAAATGCAGCGCTCGATTTCGTTTCTGATGTGTATTGTGTCACTTGTGGATATGTTTAGTATTCAACGCGTTATTTTCAATTGCTTAAGTTGTGAAGTTCATTTTATGTTTAATTTTGTATTTATTTTTAGATTTTGTGTGTTTTTCGCGCTTAGCTGTTCATTTTTCACTGCTCGACTGTTGAATAATACGTGCGCGTTTCAATGTCCTTTGGCAGTTTGTCCTTTTACACAACTGGCCCACCCACGTAGCCACAATGAATACTTTTAAGCGCATGCGCAATGCATAGCGAACATGTTGCTGTTCACAGACTGCACTTCAGGCGAGCCAAGATAAACAATCAGCTTCAGCTGAGCCGCGTTTTTTGAATATCAACAGACAGTTCGTTAGGCCGCTTGTCTCTGGAGCGTAAATGTATCTGTATCTCTTAACTGCACGCAGCGACTGCTTGAGCGCAAGTGACGCGCCAAAATATAAAATAAAACCAGCCACGCCGGGCTCTGTACTGGATGTGGAATCTCTCTCTCTTTCCCTCTGTCTCTCTCGAGCACTCTCAGTCTTCGACTCTCTCTCTTGTATGCTCTCAATGCTCTCCCAGTCCGCCACGGGGTGGCCATCGTCGCGACGCTTCGAGGCTGAGGCTATTGACTTGCAGCAGCAACAAAAACTGGAAATTGAGTGCGTTGTTTCCTTTTTGCTTTTTATTCTACTTCAGACTGCCGCCTTCAGCTTTCGCTTCGCCGGCAACAACAACAAYAATGGAAAAGTGCATTCTGTAGTCTACGCAAATGCATTCAGTTCAGATTTCTGTCACAGCTGCGTTAAAAGGCAAACGATCCTCTGCATCGTGCAGATTGTGACCTTAATTGGGTTACACTGGGTTACAGCTCATTGGCTACTCTATATAAATATGTATCCTTTATAGTACTGTTAAGTAAAATCAAGTGTACAATTGATCCCATACATAAATCAATTACAAAACTTTACAAAACATTTCCTGCTCAATCTAGACGATGATCGTTTAAAATATGGGAATTGACATTAAGGAATGGCTTAGTTTTTATATCATTATTGAATGAATCAATAAATAATATTATGTGCGTAAATATATATATTTTTTTAAAATATTATATATACAAGCTTAAGAGCTTTTCTTAGAATTCAATAACTTTA